TTAAAATAATGTTTAGGAGGGGCTGGCGATTTAGCTCAGTGGCTCAGCCTCCTCTCTTGCAAGCACAAAAACTACAGTTCAATCCCAGGTATCAAAATAATAATAATAATAATATTTAGGAATAAACTTAAGGAAGTAAAAGACTTGCACACTGAAAACCTATAAAAAACTACTGAAAGAAATTATGTAGGATATTAAAAAATGGAAATGTAAGTTCATGGATTTAGAAGACAATATTGTTAAAAGTCTCTACTATCCAAAATGGTAATCCCTATCAAAGTCTCAATGGCACTTTTTGCAGAAATAGAAAAAAAACTTGAAATCTATATGAACTTTCAAACTCCACGTAGCAAAAATAACCCAGAGGAAAAAAAATGTTAACAGAGGCTATTGTAACTTTCCATGGTAGCCCACACAGCATTCCCCATGTGCAGCATGTGTTTTTATTTCTTTTACTCTCTCTTTACTCAGTCCAAGCTCACTCTGCTAAGCCAGTTTCTCTCTAACTCTTCATTTTTATTTTCTCAAATAAACTTGGCCACTGATTGGAAAAATTGCTGGAGACCTCATACTTGCTAATTTCAAAACACATTACACAGAGCTTCAATAATCAAAACAGTATGGTACTGACATAATGATAGCCACTATAGACCAATGTAACAGAATAGAGTTTAGAAATTAACTTTCACAAATAAGGTCAAATGATCTTCAACAGAATGCCAATACTACACAATGTGGAAAGGATAGTCTCTTTTAGCAAAAAAGTGTTCATAAAACTAAACATTCATTTGCCAAAAAATGAAATTGGATATTTACCTTATAGAAATACAAAACTTAATTCAAAACTGACTACATATCTAAACATAAGACCTAAGGGTTGGGGATTTAGCTCAGTGGTTCCACTTCCTGCCTCGGAAGTGCAAGGTCCAAAGTTCAATCCCCGGTACAAAAAAAAAAAAAAACCAATAAACATAAGACTTGAAACTATACAACATCTAAAAGAAAGCATAGAGGAAAATCTTTATGACATTGGATTTGGTAATGATTCTTGCAAATGACAGCAAATGCACAGGTAATAAAAGAAAATTAAACAAGTGGGACCCCATCAATTTAAAATCTTCTGCACAGCAAAAGAATCAATGGAGTGAAAAGACAAACTGTGAAATGAGAGAAAATATTTATATTTTCCATATATCTAATATAGGGGTAATATCCAGATAAAGAACTCAGCTTGATTTAGACATTCCATGATATATAGATATAAGACCATATTGTATACCACAAACATATACAATTATTTATCAATTCAAAACAATCATTAATTTCAAAATAACCCTCCTATAATTCAACAAAACAAGATTCTAATTTACAAATGGGTAAAGGACTTAAATAGATATTTTTCCACAGAAAGCATACAAATAGAGGTCTGGGGATACAGCCTAATGGTAGAGAGCATACACATAGGTTGCACACAGCCCTGGGTTTGAACTCCAGCACACACACACACTAAAAACAAGGCATATAATTGACCCAAAAACATGTGATGTTTTCTCAGTAATCATAAAAGAAATACAGATCAAAACTAAAACCACAATGAGTTAACATCTCACATCTGTTAGGATGGTCATTATGAGAAAAAACAAAAAAGCAAATAGAAAACAAGAGTTAGGGAGAGAGTAGAGGAACTGGGATGCTTGTGCTATACTAATGGGAATGCAACACACAGTGCAGTTGTTACAGAAGACAATATGGAGGTTCCACACAAAATTTAAGACAATTATCTATGATCCAGTCAGGGTATATAGCCAAGAACCGAAAAGAAATTCTAAGAAAGATTTGCACATTCATGCTTACTGCAGCATCACTTACAATAGCCAAGTAGTAGAGGCAACCTAAATGTCTACAGAGACAAATGACTAAAGAAAATGTAGAGTATACAATGGAATATTTTTCAGTCTCTTTTTTTTTGTACCAGGGATCAAATTTGGGAACTTGCGTTTGCAAGGCAAGCGGCAGAACCACTGCTAAATCCCCTAGTCTCAAAAGAAAGAAAGAAGGGGGGGGGAGTGGGAGGGACGGAGGGGGAGGGAGGGACAGAGGGACAAAACCTTATTGCTACAGGGAAGAACCTTGAAGACAATATACTAGCAAAATACGCCAGTCACAAAAAGACAAATATAGCATGATTCCACTTACATAAAATATTTAAAATGCTTAAAACTCTTAGAAGCAGAAAGCAAATGGTGGTTGCCAATAGGGGAAAACAGAAGCTTTTAAATTTCAGTTTTGCAAGATGAAAAATGTTACAAAACTTTAACCTAACAAGGAACATGTAGGTAACAGTACTATTACACACCTAATGGTTAAAATGGTATATTTTATATTATGTGCTTTTTTTAGAGTAAAAAAATAAAATAAAAAGATGGTGCAACCTGATAGCCCTAACTAATGAGAGACTGAGACAAAAAGACTGCTTAGGACTGGGGAAAAGGAGGCCAGACTGGGCAATATCAGTAGGAGGAAAGAAGGGAGGAAAAAAGTATGCATAAAGAGATGCTTAACAGTATGCTTGGTTCTTGCTATGTTTTCTGTAATAGAATGCCAATAGCTCAGGGGGCTTCTTATTGGTAGACTACAATGGTAACTTACACTTTCCTTCCACAACTGTTTAAATGCTGGCAATCTGTCTCAGAGAATGAATGCCTGTGCTTTAAGGTGACACATGTCTGTAATGCCAGCACTCTGGAACACTGAGGCAAGAGAATCACAAGATTAAACCCAGCCTGGGCAACTTAGCAAATCAGCAAGACCCTGTCTCCAACTGATAAACAAAAGGGGACTGAGGATGTAGCTCAACTGAAAGGCTACACTGGTTCAATCACCAGTACCACTTTTAAAAAAACAGTGTGTTATTATATCTCTGCTGGAGGGTTACACCAAAAACAGGTACATAAAAAACTTAACTGGCCAACAAGTTAGGGCAAGATACAGCCCAACAATGAATTTACTAAGTCAGAATAAGAATTATGTTTCAAACTCCTTTTGAAAATGGAAAACAGAAGAATTGTTTCAAAACCCTTTTTGAAAATTAAAGTTGTTAAGTCATCCTGGGAGGGGCACATTGGCATACATGAAAAATAAATGTCGATTTCTCTCAATCTAAAAAGACAATAGAACAGGTAGCCTTCTTTGGGATGAGCATGTATTATAACTACGCTCCCACATGCAAGTACATTACAGTGGACCACAGTGGAAGAAACACAAAAAATAGACATCTAGAAATTATGTAGGAGTCCATCAGAAGAGTAATAAAGAAACTTAATTAGAATTAACAAATCACAAAGTATTCAAACCACAAGTTGTTTCTCTCAGTTTTAATTCCCTGGTCACTTGGTCAAAATTTGATACTCAAGGTTGTAGGACATTGAAATGCAATGGAATTTGCCTTTTAGTCCATTAATAGCAAACACAGTGAGATAAAAGACTTGCTATGTAGTTCAGGCTGGGCTAAATTCACGGTGAACCTCCTGCCTCAGCCTTCTGAGTGCTGGGATTACAGAATGTGCACTACCATGCCTGATGACAACAGCAATTTTAACTGAAAAATAGCAAGAACAACATGGAAACACAAAAGGGGAACAAAAGAGTCAATTATCTGTGACTATCAAAATATACTGCACCTGGGGATGTAGCTCAGAGGCACCTCTCCTGGCAAACACAAGATCCTAAATTCAATCCCCAGTACCCCCCAAAAAATTTAAAAATTGCCTTTAGGAGCTACACTTGAATCCAGTTAATCAGTGAATTATACCACATAGTCAGAGGCTATATCTATGTTAAGGAAGCAACTGTAGCAATAGATATATCAAGTTTAGTCTGGATAGTTATCATTCTAGGTATTACTACTATAATAACAAAAGAGGAAAAATGTAAATTAAATAAGAATAGCATGGCTTCCAATGAATGTATCTCCATTTTATAATTTGCCAAGCCTAAAAAACTGACACAAAAAATAAACAGTAATAACTCATGTATTCAGAGGCATCAAAAGAATGAAGGATTCACTAGAAGGAACTAAAATATAATTAAACTCAAAAAACCTGTTTTGTCCAAATAAAATTTCACTGCTTTAAGATGGACTTTTATTTTTAGAGACTTCAAATGTGCATAACTCCAGCAGTGGGCACTCTGTGTGTGTGTGTGTGTGTGCGTGCGCGCATGCGTGCGCGCGCCTGTGTTGGTGCTTTCAAACCTCTAGCAACTACACTTATTTTCTTCTATTTTTCTGCTTAACTTACACAGATTGGTCCATCAAAAATTCTAGCCTACTAAAGTCATATATGTCTGGACATTCATGACATTACTTTGACTACACAAAGGAGAGTAATGTTCTCCACTGCATTCTGATGGGCTGAAATTGCCAGAAAACCTCTAGCACATTGGAGTACCAGCCATTTTAGTGACCATTTCAATATAATTTTTAAACAAGCATTAGAAAAAATGATTGGTCAAATCTAAGGACTGAGACTCTTGCCATCAAATTTGTATTTAGTCATATAAAACAGAATATGCTCCTAAAGTGGTATAATACAATATCAGCAATATTTAAGAAGTGAAGAACAGAAGAGAGAACATGGATACAGAATAAAATCAGTATAAAATCAGTCATAAATAACTGGAAAAAAACAGTAAATGATTAACAAAACTAAAGGAAAATAATTTTCAGGTAGGAAATGGAGAAGATAGGAGAAAAGATTCTAAAAAAATTTCATAAAAGCTTAGCTAAGTTGAACCTAGGATCACAAAGAAGAAATCTAGTGGAATGAAGTTCCCAGCATTTGTACTATCATGCACTGCTAAATTATTTCACAGTGACGTTTACAAAACTGAACCATAATCGAGAATTAATACTGTATAAGGGTAGTATAAACTATTTACAACCTGTTTAACAACAAAATAAAAAGTACCTACATGAAGAAATATTCAGAAAGTTTTCTTACCTTGAATATACCAACCCAGTCTTTTGCATGTGGATGGATATATGGAGTTAAAGTATAATGACATTCCAGGTGTGCATTAGGAAGGTAACTCTTAGCCACATTTTGAAAGATGACATGGGCAAAATTGGAAGTCTGCAGTGGGACTTCTTGAAAGGATGTCATTATGAATCTGAAACAAGTAATTCATATAAGTTAACCTGACAGCATCTGAGTATAAACTCATACCTTCAAAATACATTTTAATTCAAATTTCATAGATATTTACATGTCAAATATAGAGAAGACAGACACTTTTAAATATTGGGATTTTTCCTTAAAATGTGATGAAATATAAAAACACAAACTGAATTTACTGACTCAGACACTATCTCAAAATAAGAGTTGAGGATGTAGCTCGGTGTGAAGGTCCTGAGTTCCATTTTCAGTACTTCAAAAAAGAGAAAAACAACTACAGTTAATATTGCTTCAGAAAGTTATCAAGGGTTAAAAAACAGAAACTCTCAACTCTCCTGGAAAGCCAAGCCCTCTAGGCTGGCCCCCAATTTGCAATCCTCCTGCCTCAGCTTCCCTTATAACTAGGATTATAAGATGTGGACTTAGCTCTCTAATTCTATTCCAAGAAAAAGCAAATGAACCAGGTGTTCCAGTGCATATGCTGCCAATATAAACCTGGAAGCTCCCAAACAAAAGTAATTACAGTTATAAATCAGTATTTAATGGCTACTGCTCAATTAACTTTTCCTTTCAATGTAGAACTCTCAAATTTTACCATTTTCCTCCCTAATCTAGCCCATCCTTTATCTCTCCTCTCCCTAGGTTCAAGGTCTTTTTTTGTTTGTTTTTGTGTTTTGTTTGGTTTTGTTTTTTTAAGACACAGTCTCCCTATGTACTTCAGGCTAGCCTTGCACTCACTAGCCTCAAACTTGCATTAATCCTTCTGCCTCAGCCTCCCTAGGATTATAGGCATGTGGCACCACACCTGGTGGTTCATGGTCTTATAACTCAACCTAATGATTCCTTCTCTGTGTCTGCATTCTCACCCCAGGTTGAAATCCCCTGAACCAACATTTCTCAATCATAGTTTCACATTAAAATCATTAAGGGCCCTTGGGGGGCAGGTAGCTCAGTAGTTCCACCACCTGCCTGGCAAGCTCAAGGGCCCGAGTTTAAGACCTGGTATCAAAAAAAAAAGCAGGATAACTTTTTGGAAGCGGAACCCAGAAATGAGTATCTATACATTTATTCCCAACCCCATCCAGTCTCTCCAAGTAATCTTAATCCTACATGCAGCCATGATAACAACCAGTACTCTAGAAAGCCACTAGACAGATCCAAATCAACAATTTAAGTCTCCACTACCACCTGTCCTTCATTTCCATAGATTCCAGAATGGCAGAGACTGTTTTCATGAGCTTCTGATGCAAGTTTGTTCAAATCTCTTAAACTATGTAGAATATCAACTGCATACTCCAAATAGCTCAACCTAGGGCCAGGGATGTAGCTCAGTGGCATCACATGTGCCTTGCAAGTGCAAGGTCCTGAGTTTGATCCCCAGTACAAAAAAAAAAAAGAAGAAAAGAAAATAGTCCTATGTGGCATCACATGTGCCTTGCAAGTGCAAGGTCCTGAGTTTGATCCCCAGTACAAAAAAAAAAAGAAGAAAAGAAAATAGTCCTGTTCCAATTCTACTCTTTCATTCTGAGTTTAATGATCCTACCTTATCTTCTACTATTCATGTACCCTTTCCATACCTTTACTGATTAAAAATATAAGGATAGTATTGATGAATATATACTGTTGAAAATCTACTAGAGATTTTGTAATTTTGTATATGACTACTTTGGTAAACACCAAGTGCTAGGTAGCCAATGAATGGTAAAAACTGCAAGATTCAACAGTTTTCCCTATTTTGTGCTTCACATTTGTTTGGTTTTTGTACAGGGGATCAAACTTAGGACCTTGCGCTTGTGAGGCAGGCAGCAGAACCACTGAGCTAAATGCTCCAAATTTGAAAAAAGGAAACTGGGGATTTACTCAAAAAAGCAACGTACAGAGTATGTCACAGGTTTGACACAATCTCTGACTTCACAGTACACTGTCTAACTATATATGAAACTATGACTTTGATCTTTTGTCACTTCCTTCAAAGTCATTATCAAGAATTCCTGCAATAAAGAGGAAAACCAAAGCAAAATTTTGCTAACCAAATTAATTTACTTCACAACTAAATGAAGCTTTCACAGAGTAAAGATTACAGTACCCTATTCATGTTTTAGCAAGTAAGAAGCCTTGTCACTAAGAAGAGTAAGGTAGTTTGCTTGAGAGCTGTTTTTCTTTTGCAGACCTGTTTGAAATACAAACGCTTCTTCTTTTTGGCAGTACTGGTATTTGAACCCAGGGCCTCATACACACTCTGCTTCTCCAGGCTTTTACTGGGGCGGGGGAGGGGGACCTACTTTGCTAACGTGCCCAGGCTAGACTCTAAACTTGCAATCCTCCTGCCTAAGCCTCCCAAGAGTCTAAGTTAAGGCATGTACCTACCACCACATCCAGCAGCAAATTTTTAAAATTTGAAAAAACAAGCACATTAGAAAAAATCAGTATCTTCTGGAATCGCCTCTGCTTCTGTAATGATCAATGCATTGCTTTACTGAACAACACATTGGACATCTTATAAACAGACTAATAATCATGAAGCTACTGGGATAGAATAAACCATATTATAGTTGCATATAATCCTGATGCTTGTAAGGATTATTTAAGGTAAATGGTTCACCAGTAACAATGTTTTGCCTCTGCACTAACAAAATGGCTTTATTACCAGCAACTCTGTTATCATAGGACTTAACTGTGAATATTCTCTACCTAATAAACTAAAGCCTTCATGAAAATGAAAAGGAAGCACTTAAACACTGAGGAACTCTTCCTAAAATAACTGTAGAGTTCTAGTTTGTTTCTTTGAGTTGTCTGACCTGATATGAGCTCACAGGGAAGATACCATACTAAAGTCTAAAGTAGTCACTAATAGTCTCTTCTCAAGTCAGCAGCTTCATAGAGGGGGGCGCACCACTTCAGTTTCTTTTTAAAAATGCTACAGATAGGGCCGGCGAGATTTAGCTCACTGGTATCACACCTGTCTAGGAAGCAAAAGGTCCCGATTTTGATCCCTGACACCAATAAATAAATAAATATTACATATACCTACTTGGGTGTGGTGGCTGAGGCAGGAGGATCACAAGTTCAAGGACAGAATGGGCAATTCAGCCTGACCCTGTCTCAAATAAATAAATGAAGGAGGTGAGGGGGCTTAGTGGTAGTGCTTGTCTATCACATATGAGACCCTGAATTCAATCTCTAACACTGAAAACGATTTACAAAAAAATAAACAGTTAGAAGATACCAATAAGAAAAACTATAGCTAAATCAATTAAATCAAACTCTTAGAAATATTAAAACTGGGTTATGTGAATCATTATATCTGCCTATGAAAAAAGTTAATATTTAGGTTTCTTTGAGAAAGCTATACAGTAAAGAAACTGACAAAATGCCCTTTTTAATTAAAAATTGTTTTAAAATTTTTTTAAAAAGTTACTGATGAGAGCCAGGCTTGGTGGTGCACATCTGTAATCCCAGCACTCGGGAGGCTGAGGAAGGAGGATAACTGTGAGTTCGAGATCAGCCTGGGCTACACAATGAGTTCCAGAGCAGTATGAACTACACAGTGAGACCCTGTCTCAAAACACACACACACACACACACACACACACAAAATTAATGATGAGACTTTCTTAAAATGTAATGTAGTTTCCTAAAATAAACTAAGTCAACAAGACTGTACTAATTTGCTTATAAAACAAGACAGTGGACTTCAAACTTTGTTTAATCTCAGTCACAGCAATTATTTTAAAAATCCATACTCCAACCTTACACTCTCACTTCGTTGAAATTTTTTAGGTATAAAATAGTAAATAGGTAAAGATGTATATTTGATAATAAATGTGCAGATCTCCTCAAATGCATCAAAAAGGACTCAAAAACATACATCATACCACATAGTCCTTATTGATGAGGGCTATGTGTGAAAGAATTCTGTTTTAATTTCTATAAGTATATATAATTTTAAAGTCCATATTAAGAGCCAGAGATTTAGCCCAGTGGTTCCACCACCTGCCCTGTAAGCACAAGGACCCAAGTTCAATCCCTGGTTAAAAAAAAAACAAAAGTCCATACTAATACCGTAAGATCTTATTTTTAAGCCCTCCCCCACATTCAAAGTGTTTAACAGAAGACACAAACATCATACTTTAAATATATCTGTGATGATTATGTCTGAAAAGTGAGAAAATTTGCAGTCATCCACTAATAAGCCTATATCAATCTCCAACACTTCAGCTACTGTATTTGAAAAATGTCAATGCTATAATTGTAAAAATATTTTACAAAAATCATTCCACTATCCTTGCTATTCTTTACTTTTAAATTATAATACAGCTTATAGCTATTTAAAAAATTAACAGATGAATGTATTCTGAAAATAATTATATCATTAATCAACCCCTTTTAAATTAGTTTTTAAAAATTCTACTTTCCACACAATTCCTTTGGTTCACTCTTCCCACAGGTAAGAAATAACAAACTGATGGAATGGCTTATAAAAATGTTGAAATTCACTGAGTATGCCAAAGCACCACACACACACCTGCCAAGGCCCAGTGAAGAATATGCAAAGTCACTGCATCACCTTGTGGTAATGAATGGGAAGTGTAGCTTCACTAACATCCTCAGAAAAAGTTCAACCCTCACCTCAGTTAGAAAGGAGAAATACAGCCCCTACCTAGAAAGGGAAGAGAAACATGCAGCTTTACCACACGAACTTCCCACACTCTATAAGGTATAGCCCAGGAACAGATGTACAGTAAGATGGCACACCAAGGACAAGTCAAATTTTCCAGGGAACAATTAAAGGGCCAGACAGCTAGAAAATGTTTGAAATGCATACACATGATAGCTACAGCACCCTCTTCCAGGTTTCCTACATTCCCTGAAATTGTAATTCCTCTAGAATCCCTTCATGTGTACCATACTATAAACTAAAAACTCTTTAGTCAATTTTGTTACTTTGGAAATTAATATCTAAAGAAAAGATAAATAATATGTAGTGGGCACTCAACTACACTGCTAAATTGAGGGGGAGGGCTCAATACAAAAGAAAGTTACCTTTACTTGCTCTTCTTGGACTTTTACAAGCCCAAAACTATCTGCCTGTTTTGGTAGTTACCTTTTTACAGCAGCTCCCGATACTGTGACTTAAGTCAAAAATATAAGCCTTTGGGGTAGGTGTGGTGGAGCATTCCTGTAATCCCAGCACTCAGGAGGCAGAGGCTGGAGGACCGCAAAGAGTTACAGGCTAGCCTGGGCTACATGTTGAATTTAGGGCCAGCATGAATTACAAAGCGAGATCCTGCCTCAAAAGACCAAAAAAAAACCAAAAAATTTGTCACCTTATTAGAAAATAGACCACAATAAACACTCTTTGTATTATATATATGAAGTCAAAGTAAGCTTCTTCCTTTAATATTTAATACAGTTAGAGATACTAAGCTAATTATTTATGAACTGCCTTGATTTTTGGAACTGGCTTTAAAAAACTCCAGGGAAAAATACAAATGAGTTAGCAGGGCAATGAGACAAGATTGGCAATAACTTAGTTCATTTTACTCTTTATTCTCCTCTTGAAGTTTTTAATAATAAAACTAGTGAAACCAAAGCAAATAAAGAAGCAGACTAGTAATAAAAACACCACATACAGAGCCTGGCGTGGTGGCACAGGCCTGTGATCCCAGCACTTGGGAGGCTGAGGCAGGAGGATCGCTTAGAGTTTGAGACCAGCCTGGGCTACACAGTGAGTGCCAGGGCAGTCTCACTGTTTCAAAAAAACAACAACAACAACAAAAACAAACCAACCAACCAAAAGCCACATATCACCTACTGCAAAAGAAACACTGCATTTTTGTTTTCTTTTTTGAGACAGGGTCGCACTATATTGTTGAGACTGCCCTGGCACTCACTGTGTAGCCCAAGCTGGTCTCGAACTCTCAGCGATCCTCCTGCCTCAGCCTCCCGAGTGCTGGGATCACAGGCCTGTGCCACCATGCCAGGCTGCACTGCATTTTTTAAATATGGACACTTTGTGCTTTTAAAAATGCCACTAAAATAAGTAAACAAATGTGCCATTAATTCAGGTTGTAGTTGAATAAATTAACAAGTTTTAAACATCATAAGAGAAAAAATGAACCTTTAGAAATTATCTTCAAAATTCAGTCTTATAGAACACACAAACATCGGAAGAGGAAAAAAAAAGGTCTGGGATTCAAATAGTTTCCAATTACTCATCCTATGCTTAAAAGATTTAATTGGCTTATAAACACCTCTACTCCAGAAAAATGTTATCAATAATCTTTCTGGGAGACAGAAGCAAAGCTCCCAGCCACCAGAGTACATTGTGCTCTTGCAGATATCCCTACTTCCAGAATCCTTTAGAGCAGAGTATCTCTACATTCTGCCCAGAATTCACCCAAAGCACTTTGGTTTACTGTTTAGAGTTTTTTTAAAAAGTTGGTGTCTAAAATCTTGACCCATAAATAATACTGAGGGAAAATTTTTTTTTATCTTTTTCTAAAGATGCGGAACAAAGTAAATTTTAAAAAGCCATTAAGGGCATTAAGCCCACATTTTACATAGTAATATCCATTCCAAAAGAACAAACTCCAAAAAATTTAATAAATATGATAATTCTCCCCAAAGCATAGAAGCATATAGTTAGGCTCTTTCATAAATACTTATCACTTAAGGCTAAAACTTAGAAATGCAAATTATCTATCATTTTTATTATGGAAAAGGTATTTACTGGTTTAACTTCACATGTATAAGTGCAATCATAACTGTAAAGAGAGAGGTGCAGTTTAGGAATGTGATGACTAAACTGGGCATGGTGGGGCACGGCCTGTAATCCCAGCAGCACTCAGGTGGGGTCAGAGGCAAGATGATGGCTAGTTTCAGCCCAGTCTGAAAGATTTAGCGATTGAGGGGAATCTTGTATCAAAAATTTTAAAAATATATGTTTTTTTAAATACTGGGGATGTTGCTCAGTGGGAAGGCCCTGGCCCAGGTTCGATCCCGAGTACCCCAAAAAACATAACTAGAAAAAAAAATTACAGTAAAATGTTTATTTTAACACACTGCAAAAATAAATAATAGGCTTAATAACAAGTCTTGCTTGGAGTAATCAAATAATCCTTCAAAAAATGAAGTTCAGTGGTAAAATCAAGTTCAAGTTCTTCGATAATTGGATTCAGGAGGCATGATGAATAACAAAACCAAGAAGTAACAAAGTGTCTTGGCTAGTAAGGGCAGCGAATCAACGATGAACACTGAGAAAATACCCAGGCAAAATATTCAATCACAATTTGTCAAGTACCAAACCCGAGGATTTTCTCCAGTACCAAGGTATGTGTTCAACCTTGAGAAAAACAGAACACAGTCCTATGCCTGAGCCCCTTCACTACAACCAGAACACCACTCTGAGGACCAGTCCGCTTCAATATTATTCAATCGATCATTTAAAATGTTTCTGGAACCAAATTTATAACGAGTAATTCGTGCACAATTCATAGAAATTTACCCATTAGCATAGCGTAGAGTTGATAATTTAAGATTTTCCTATCTAAACCTTTAACAAAGCAATACATAACCAATTGAAAATGTAATATATGTATAGAGCCAAATGCCACGGTGTTTTTAACAAATTTTTAAAAACAAACTGTAACGTTTTTCTCAGAAGGTAAACAAAACAAAACAAAACTCAATTGCTAACATTTTCAGAGCGACCAGCGCCCGTCAGGACTTATTCATCGCTTACTTGCAGACGGGCTGTTTTTGAAGGAGGTGAAAGAGGGGAAAGGAGAGTTGTGAAACCTAGAAAAGTTGAGTAGGCAAAGAGTGATGTGACACTTCTCGGAACATTTCCTTAAAACATCTTCAAGCAACGGCGAGAGAGCTCTGTACAAGAAGATGAAGAGCTAACAAATGCCGTAGCCCAGGTAAAGTAGGTGATCCGACCAACACAGCTATTCCACTCGGCCCAGAAAAGCAGGCGACGCACCGAGTCTCCGCCTCCTTCACCGCTAGCGACTCAAACCAAAACAGTTGGGCTTGGCCCGCAGAGGCCGACCCGAGCGCCCCTCCCCGACTCCACCAACATGTTTTCCAAGCTTACCTACGCAGGTAACACACACTCTGACCTCCAAACAGCCAGCGGCACAAGCGCGTCTGTAAACCCCAGCGCTCTGGGGGCCTAACGCAGAGAGATCACAAGTTCGAGCCCAGCTTGGGAAACTTAGCAACAGCGAGAGACCTCGTCTCAAAATAAAAACACTTTTCAAAGGACAGGGGATATAGCTCAGTGCGAAGGCTCTGGGTTCAATCACCAGTATCGAAAAAAGGTCACCCTTTAGAGTTGATTCTCGGGCACCTAGACTTGATTCCCGAGGGTCACCTGCGACCCCAGCTAAAGGAGTCCCATCACGTAACGCCTGCTCTAAACCAAAAAGGACGATTTCACAGGGCTCCCCGCAGTGTAGAGGAGCCACCCGTCGTTTTTCCAACTCTACTGCTGGCCCAAGTCGCCCACGCACCCTTCACTAAAGCTGCCTGCAAGGAAACGTTCGTCCTTGGGAAAGAAAGCGTCGTCACTTGGCAGTGTCGTCACCACGGAGACCATTCCCTAGACCCGTCTGGGCCCCAGATTCTAGGAGGTAAAGGGCGCAGCGCGAGCCCCAAAAGCGCCCGAGCTGGGGTCCTCTCCGCCACGAGCCGGTGGGGCGGGCTGGGAAGGGGTCTTACCCAGTGAAGGGCTCCCGGGCCTTGAGGGAATGCTACACAGGTTTCCAAGCCAGAGCCGCCATCAGCCGCCGAACCTCTTCCGCCAACACCACCGCCTCCGCCTCCCTCCACCAACCGGTTACAACTCCCTTCAGAGCCCAGAGCCGGCGCTACATCACTTCCGCCCACGGCCGGCCCCTTCCGCCGCCCTCGGCGCGCAGCCTCAGTTAGCAGTGTCCGCCGCAGTTCTCCTCAGACCGGCCCGCGGCCGGAAACGCGAGAGCGACCTGGAGCTGTTCCAGAGGCTTTTTCCTTGGGCCTGGCCGCTCCTCTTTTTTCCCCGGTCTGGGCATTCCTTTTCCCCAGCTGCCTAATCGTAACGAAATAGGGTCCGTAACTTACCAGTGGAGGAGGAAAGGGTGTCCCGAGGCATATAGGTCAATATCTTGCCGCTGTCCGGACCTTAAACGTCTTCTAAGTTAATTCCACCAGTTTTATAGGTAAGGAAATAGAGAACCAAAGAAATGTAGGGAGCAACCGCACGGTCGGTCTGTGAGCCCTCAACATAAGGACTCAGTTCCTGGTCTAACCTTTGCTTTTTTAATCTAGGAAGGCCTGTTTGCTGTGAAAACCTGTTTCTGGTAGGAGCTTTTGAATTCTGTGCTTTCTTATTCTGTGCGCAAGCTCCATCAGTGGCCTCTCTACCTGCATTTCTGTGGGGTTTTTAATTTTTATCTGTATTTTGTGAGCGTGTTTCTGTTAAATTATTTCTAAAGCACTTGACTGTTACACGTCTACTTATGTTAGAATCCTAAATACAAGAAAGTAAGTGTGCTTTTGAAGTTAAGAATTTAATGTCTTCCAAAGTCTGTTGCACTATCAGAAATTTCATTTGCAATTAAGAAACAGCCTACAGAGGTTTATACTTAAGACCTTTGCCCCATTTACCTCTAACAGTGTTCCTTGTTCTTTGTGCAACTGAAAGGTCACTGAACTTTAAATATCTCGAACCTCTCTTTAGCTTACTGAGAATAATAACCAACACAGCGCTCAGCATTCTTAAGGTATGTCAACAAGTTTCTTCCTTCTCAATGCTGCTTTCTAAGCGCTTTCAATTTATGAATCACTTGCATATGAATGGTATTTAAAGCTAGTAAATTATTTTAAGAAAATGTTATTAAAATAATATCTATTTGAAAACTTTAAATTTAAACGTGTTTTTATTTTCATGGATCTCAGCCCCTCCCACCTTGTCCAGGAACTGTACACGATATTTTTTCTTCTTTTTCTTTCTACTCAACCCCTCCATCTCCACTGGATCTTCCCCCTTGTCTTTGAAATGTGCTGTTTGTCGCATAATTTTAAAAAACTTCCTCAGCTATCACTATGTTTGCTCAGCCACCACCTTCACAAACTTCTAATTTCTAGGGGAAAAAAGTTGTCTATACTGTACACCATCATTTCCCACTTCATTCTAAATTCTACCTCTGTCTTACCAAAATAGGTCACATTAAGGTCAAAATGTGCTACAGACAGACAAATCTATTTTAATATTCATGCACTTTCATGAAGTCTGATCACATTTCTTGACTGTTGTAGAACTGAAAGGATCCATGAAGAGGAATTTGAATTTTACCCATGATTGGAGAGTTCAGTGACTCACCTGATTAATACCCAGCTAATTTCATAAAACATTTTTGAGGATCCTAAAAGATAGGGAAAAGAGAATTTGAGGAGACTTTTCATGCCAGTAGTGCATCTCAGTTTTGTAAATCCATCCTTTTTACTTGCTTTATGAAAATACACTTGGATCTTTTAAATATTTCCCGTTTGCCAGCTGGAACAGTGTTAAACTTTTGTCAGTGGAACATGCTGAAGAGCCAATGCAAAAGGAAAGGATTCTCCATCCTGATTCCTGTGTTATCAGATGGCAGTTAATCCTCTCACTGCCTAGAAAGGGGGCTGGTGAGAGCTAAAAAGACAACAGAGAGTTGGGGCTGGGAGGTCAGTGCCTCAGAGTGGACAAAGACACTCCAAGCTAGCCATTATTGGGTACAAACAATAATTGGAGGGAGCATCAGGTAACCTAGGGGGCGGAGGCAATTCTTTGTTAATGAGGATTTTAGGATTTTATGTTAATGAGGGCAGTGAGGAAAGCATTCTTAACAATATTAGGTGGAATGAGATAGCTGGCTAGGGCTGGGGATCAAGCTCCTGAGTTGGATCCCTGATACCCCCCCAAAAAAAATACTGATAAAGAAGTTGTCCTCCCAGGTGAAACCTTTCTCTCTTTTTTAAATTACTACTCAGTTCTCAAGAGCCAGGATGTCGTCAGCTGATGTACTCTTGCCCTTGAGCATCACAGTATCACTATACAGTATCACAGTATCAAGGGAGCACTGAGGCCTCAACTTGTGCCCCCCCCCACACACACACACACACTGAGGATCGCACGGAGAACCTTGTGCTTGCAAGGCAGGCATGGCTCCACTGAGCTAACCTGTGACTAGAGCCAAATCCAAGTTAAGTTTCCAAGAGTGCCATAGCTGGCTTGCAGGCAAGGTGACTTTTGCGCCTTAGTCATACTTTAATTATGAAATGATTTTTCTCCCAAAATTTATTTAGAATGGCTTTCAACAGACTCCTGCAGCACATGTGGCTTCTCTAGTGTCCCATCTGCTACATCACCGTGTCTTTAGTTAGTGATCCCTGTAATGTACAAGCACTACCCGAACCCAAGTCAGGACAAATTTTTGCAACCAAGTGTTAAGAAAACATTGGATTTTCAGTACTTTTTGGATTTCAGAATAGCAAAGAAAGAATTGCAGAACTACTCAATTGCTGGAAAGTAAATTACTGAGCAACCCGAATTTTACTCTGGGCAGTTACACAGTGAAATCTCTCCAGTAAGATACTACTCTGTGAACGACTTTCCCCAGGACTTTAGCGGGCATCTTTCCAGCAAGTTCCACAAGGCCTATTTTCAACAAGATGCAGCAGGCAAGTTTACAGAAAGTTCCAAATGGTAGATGTCAGGCCATTCTAGATGGTGGATTTCTGGCCACTCCATCGGTTCAGTGGCACAAGGATTTTTCTGTGGGTCTTACCTGTGGTACTTCTTCATTCAGTGACCACCACCACCCCACCAGCTATGCTCTCTTCAGGGCTTACATCTCAGCTCAGGAAGTGCTCATGCGTGGACAATATGTCTCAACCCTTGAATAGTGTTTGTCCCTTATATTTCCTATTCTTATATTTTTAGATTTCCCTTTACTCCTAGTAATCTCAGCCTGCTATAGTTAAATTTTTATATTAAACTTTCCATATTAAACTTGCCCTGTTCAAATCACCGTGTAGATTTTGTGTTGATTGAACCCAGACTGACACAATACTTCCTTTAGCATCATAGGTAGAACCTGTCTTAATTATTTTCCTTTATTCTCCTTAAGCTCAGTAAGCTGAGTTCTGACCAGCTAAAGTTAGTTATGTAGCCCTTTATTGTACTGCAATTTTGTACTATTTGATGTTAATTATGATGCATGGGGGCTAGAATTTCTTCAGTAACATGTAGTTTAAGTTGCAGGATTCAGGGAATGATGATTTATTGCCATTAAGCAGCAGGGCTTAATAGATTAAAGAAATACCTGTATCCCCAGAAAGGACTGTGGCTATGCCACAAGAACAAAAGGAACAATGAAATTATTACTAAGTACTTATGCTAAGCATCTTGTACCAGGGATCAAACTTGGGTCCTTGCGCTTGCAAGACAGGTGGCAGCACCACTAAGCTAAATCCCCAGCCCTATGCTAAGCATCTTTAGAAGGTGATTTACATTTATATATATATTCTTTGGGGCTGGGGGTTTAGATCAATGGTTCTGCTGCCTGCCTTGCAAGCGCAAGGTCCCCAGTACCCCCCAAAGTGTGTGTGTATATATATGTGTGTGTATACACACACATATATATACACATACACACACACATATACTTTGTTAAGTGTGACAGTTGACTTTTGAGATTGTTTAGTATGATATAGCAAGTGCTAAAACAAGTCAAGAATAGTTAGTGAGCCCTGTAATACACAAATACTACTAGCCCCCAAATCAGGACAAGCTTTTACCACCAAATGTTAAGAAAACAACTTTTCTTTAATCTTTTCTGCCTATGCCCTTCCCTCACTTTCAGGTACCCTTTTCTAGATTTAACAGCCCCTATCCTTCTAGCCCCAGGCAATCTTATCCAGGGAAAAAAAAGAAACTGATTTTCTACAGTAAGTTCTCTCTCTGAAGGAAGGAATTCAAGTATGATGAATCTCAAAATAAGACTGACTGTCATGAAGCGATGCATATGTAATGCCAGACTTCCATTGTCAGTGGGAGGATTTCTTTAGGTAAAGGACTTTCCATGTGCTTTGATGGGTACTGTCTGTGCAAGAGAACTCCTTTTACCCTATATCTTCTTCCAACATACATCTCATTCTTCTTTTCTCAATTGGATTTCCAAGACCAATCTATATGTCATGATAATATATTCAGTATATTAACCTATTTTTCCCTTGCTATTTTCTCCTTTTATACATTGCCGCTTTCCCAGTCCTTCCAACTATTGCTCCTATAAACCAGTAGGCTTCTTGGCTTGGGGAAGGGACGTAGAAAGAAATCTTTCTGGCTTTAGTTGCCATGATCTCAAGCTCCAAAATGAGATTTAGACTATAGAAAATATGGCTTGAGAAGCCAGAGGCAGAGGTAAATGTATGGAGAACATGTCACATCCTCCCCACCTCCCAACTCTAGAAATAGATTTCCCTGGTCCAGAGAGTGTGGGACAGTACATCTAGATGGACAGCCCCACTCACAGCCTAACTTTCCTGGGGCTCAGATATCCTTTACCCCATTTTAGTAATGAGTACTGTTCCGAAATACTAAAAAAACTAGAACTGAGGTTCTCAAAATAGTAAATTGGTGAAACACAATATGTAAATTTCTTCACAGGCTTGAGTTGTCGACTCAATTTGTATTGCTGTATACATTTCATTACCTTTGCCATTCCACTTTTTCACAGACTGTATGCAATGTGCTCAACCCCCACAGTCCTTCAGTAGTTCCTCTGATAAACTCATCAATAAGCCTCATGTTTCCCAACCTAGTTTTCAATTCTTAATAACTGACC